CCCTGTGCATCGAGGAAGGTCAGAACACAATGGCAACATGTGGTCTTGCATTAGCATTGGAACATGCCGTTTGAAGGCCTCGAAGATAAGGCACAACCACCAGACGTAAGATGTCAGAAATGTACCCATCTGCGCTCAAATTACCATCGATCCAAACTAGAAACATGCATGTTGTGTACTCAATGCCTGCCCAAACCATCACACCAGATGCCAGGCCCCTATGCCAAAATCGAATGCAAGCAGGTGACGTGTAGTCTCCTCGGACACTCCAGACATGTATACGGCCATCAAATACTGCATGCAGAACCGAGACTCATTTGAAAAGACGACATTGTGCCACTCCTGTACACAGCTGTGCATTGTATGCCAGTGGAAATATTATGTTACTAACTGCACGTAAACTATATTTGTTTTGTTTGTGTTATAATGAAGTGTTCGTCCTTTTAATGCATATGCTATATGAAATTGCCCACACCAAGTTCATGTTAAATATGTCTAGAACCCACCACATGATGGATACATGAGAGTGGTGTCAGTCAAGGAGGATATGTGTATATGCATGCATTAAGAACTGGATTATGAAAATTCTGGTGAAGTTTAATTGATTCACCAAAAAAGGTAAGAAGTATATTGTTCAATTTATTTTGCTGGAAATTAAATCTAAACATAACAAAATGGCTGAAGCCGAAGTCTCAAAATCTAAGAAAGAACAAAAAGTTATTCATTCAGCCATAACTAAAGTAACAGGTTCCACTGAATCTTTAATTGCTTTTTGTATTACTGAAGATATAGAAGAAATAATTAGAAATTTTAAAAGTAGTTTCTTTGAAAGAGTTAGATGAAACAATTAAAAATTTAACTGATATAAATGACACTGAAACCAAAATCGAAAGTGCCCTGGAATACAAAGAAAAGATTGCAAATTGGAATTTCGGAGGCACAAAATTATTAAAGGAGAAGAGAAGCGTCAACAATCACTAGTTTCTAATGGTTTCTTTCATGATAATAGTAATGTATCTATTATTTTTGGTGTTGTTAATAGAACTGTTAAATTTATGACCTGTCTGAAGTTCGAGTAAGGCTGCTAAATTCATTAGGAATTAAAACTGAATCATACAGAAGTTTACTTTATCCTTTATTAATGAAATATATTCCAAGGGATATAACATTTGATTTTGCTTGTCAGAAAGCAGATGAAGAAAATTTCATTGACGAAGACCTCATGAAATTTCTAAAATGGGAAACTGAATGTTGTGAATGAACTTCATTAAAGTTATCTTACTCCAAGAGTTATGAGAATTTTCCGGAAAAGCATTTTATCCCATCCAATTAAAAACAAAACTATTTCCACACTCGCAATTCTTTTAAAGCCAACCCCAGTAGTTATTGCCACATTTAAACAAAATTGTAGCTGCTTGAACTTTTTCTTGTTGATTTTGTGGAAGGGAAGATCCTGCTTCTGAAAAATGTGTTACTACACCAGAAGAAAGAAAAAATAGTTTGAGAGACTTTAATCGGTGTTTTCTTTGTTTCGAAAAGAACTGCAGAACATAAAATTTCCCTTCTCAATTAAAATCTTCAAAATATAATTCTAAGTATCACAACATATTGTTACATGAAGATAAGAAAAAGTTCAATGAGGAATAAATTAAAAATAATTATAATGGCCTAACTGCAAAGATTTCTTCTAAATATTTTAGAATGAATCAAGAAGATGGGGGATTACTTGATAACTTACCCACCGTTAAACTTATTTGTGATGCCAAATTAATTAATGCAGTAGCAGATACAGGCACTCAATTAACTATTGTTAAGGTTGATAGTGTATCAGAAAGATACCGTAAGCCACATGGAACTGTTATTCTCACATCAGCCTTCGGACAATCTTTAAAGGCTTTTCTCATTAACTTAGCTTTATTAAAGTATTCTGAAGACAGTAAACTTATGTTATCTATTTTTATAACATGTGCAATGGTTGATAAGTTATGTATTGATTTACTTTTGTTGTTAAGTGTTTTTAATGAATTAAATGGAAATGATAAACGAAAGTTTAAATTTTGAATGCAAAAATGTAAACATTACTAATGATAGCTTGGTTGAAATGCCTTTTTATGAAACTGAATATTTTGACAAAATATTTAAGCATGATAGGAAAAACCTTATTAATGGAAAATGTAATGAAACTGTTAAGAAAATAATAGAATGTTGTACTATGCTACATGAAAACACAAATAAGGATGATTCTAAAGGTAGTACGAAACAAGATCATTATGTTTCAGACTGAACAAACGAATGATCCATCTTTAAAAAACATGCTGGCAAGATGATAAGAAGGAAGTAATAATTTAATTGTTATTGATGACTCTTTGCATCATAAAGATCAGATTTTAGGAGAAAGAGTTAACCAGTTAGTTGTTCTTAAAGAAAGAAGGAAACAAATTTTGGACTCAGCTCATTCTAACTTATGGGCAGATCGCATGCAAACCAAGAAGACAGCCAAACAATTGAGATATTCCTTCTATTGGCCTGAAATCAAGAAAGGTATGAATGAATATTGTAACACTTGTACTTCTTGTCAAGCTAAAAAGCATCCTTTTATTAAAGTTCCCATTACGCCAGGGACGTATCTTAGCCCATTCAGGTTAATTAATATGGGTATCCTTGGACCTGTGGAACGAAGCTTTCTAGCTCATAAATATGTTCTGTGTACTGTTGACCAATGTACAAGATGGCCAGAAGCAGTGTCATTTAAGAATCTTAATTCAAAATCTACATGTGATATGTTGTTGCAGATCTTTACATGCATTGGAATCCCTCAGATTTTTGCATCAGATCAAGGAACTAACTTTACTGCTTCTTTGACTCAAGAGTTTTTGAAAAGGACTGGATCTTCACTAAGATTCTTGACTTCTTACCATCCAAGTTCAAATGGACTCAAAAAAGATTTAAGGTTGTGTTAAATGGAATGATATATCATACCATCAGAGAATATTCACAAGATTGGGAGAAACACCTACCATACTTACTTTGAGCCTACAGAGAAGTCCCTAATGCTACGACTGGTATTAGTCCATTCCAGATACTTTATGGAAGACATCCTAATGGTCTATTGTCTAGCTTGAAGACTTCACGGACTGATGAAACCCCTACTCCTCATGGACAACTAAGTAACTGATTACCTTAATGATTTGAAGTTAGAAACAGCTGCTGAATACATAGGACTTACAGCTGTTGGGAAGCAACAAGCTAAGGCATGCGGAAAGATCGTCATAAAGAATTTAAGGATGGTGACAAACTTGTAGTCTTAATCCCTGATAATAAAAACAAAATTTATGCCAGCTGGACTGAACCTGCTACAATCATCAAAAAGCACATTATATTTACATAGTGCAAATGCCTGACAATACTTCAAAGCAAAGATACAAGAGTTCAAGACTGCTGTGAATAATGTTGCTGTGATATATGATACAGATATTGATTTCGGAGAAGTTGAAAACATTCCAAGAACTGTTCCACTAAAAGCAGAAAAACACTATTCCTATGAAGAGCTTGATCTTACAGGTCTCAAATCCCATAGGCTAGGACAATATGCTTTTGTATTTTTTTTTTTTTTTTTTTTTTTTTTTTTGTATATTTATGCTTTTGTATATTATTAAAAATGTCACCGGAACTTTTCAGAGGACTATGAACAAACTTCTTCCCAAATATAAAGACTATGCCGAGTCTTATATAGATGATGTGACTTAATGACAAATTTAAATTTTCCAGTGATTGAAATACTGGAAAATAATAAATTGAAGTGACCATTGCACATGTTTCAAATGTTAATGACTGAAAGTCAATAACATTTGAAATGTTATAAGCATTTTGACTATTTTATTAGACATTTTTTCAAGTCCTCAAATGCTAGACTTTTGAATTTTTCTATTGCTATGCATTATGATTAATACTAGCCATGGTATAGTAAAGTATATGTTTAATGTTAATGATTGATTTGTATTATTTTGTTTATATAATAACTAACATTATCATAGTTCATGTTAAAGATTTAGGATTAAGGAAAAGTTAATTGAATGGTATATCTTTTCATGAGTAACAGTATTGAATTTATGTTGAAATAATTTTAATTCATAATTGTAAGAACTGGTTAATTAAGCTAAAAAAAATTCATAAAGTTTTTTTTTTTTTTTTTTTTTAATTTTTTGTTTTGTTTGTTGTTTCATGAAATGTTTACATGTTGATTTGACAGGACATTGAAAGATGCATCAAATCTTTTAGAGGTGAGGAGTGATGATTTGATGAAAACCCCGCATGCTCACTTTAGACGAATGGCATACCCTCCTTGTTGTTGCCTCTCTCTCACGTGACAGAGTGTCAAGATTATAGAATAGAAGAGAATGTTACGATAATGGATGTTGTACGCTGTATGCCAGCAGAAATATTTTGTTACTATATGCAAACTATATTTGTTTTGTTCATTCTATAATAAAGTGTTTGTCCTATTAATACATATGTTGAAAATGCCCAAGTTTATGTCACATTCTTATTAAATAAAATATCGAGAATTCACCTCATGATGGATACATGACAGAAACATTAAATTTTCATTATGTTCTTTTAATTTAAACACTTTTTTCATTTTAAATATACACTGCTGTGTGGAACATACATGAAATACATTATTTATTACATTTTTGACAAACTTCAAAATTACTTAAAGCAGATAAAAAGAAGGGGTCTACAATTAAGGATAAAATCAAAACTAAGGAGAAGGGAAAATCAACACATATAATTTACATTTCAAAACAATATCCTGTTAAGATGCATAAGGGAGGGGGGGGGGAAACCAACACTTTCATAAAATATTTAGAATTCAAATAAAACAGATTTTTACTTTTGAACTAAAGAAACAAGAAGCTCCATATTGAACATCTTAAGTAAAAACAATACATAACTTTTCGAACAAATAACAAATTCTACTTCTAGTTATATCACAATACCTGAGGTAATATTTCTAAGACCATGTCCACCATTGCAGCATTTCTATACTCTTTGAATGCATCGGCCTTTTTAGCCATTTGTTCTGCTTCTGCCTTTGCTTTTGCTTCTATTGCAAAAGCTTCAGCTTCTCCTTTTAACTGTAAAAAAAAAAAAATAAAAAAAAAATAACAAAGGGATGCTTTACGATTTAAAAATTTTAGGCTAAAAAATTTCACTTTTTAAAATTAACAATCAACTTTAACATGAGCAAAAATTTTATGTATCAAAAAAGAAGTAACTTATAAAATTGTTCTAAATTAATTATTACAAGTGAATAATTTCAAACATTAAATATAAAAAATCTCAGGTAAATATCAAAACCATAACAAATCTAATACTTTAAATAATACAAATCTATTATGCTTTTTTGAATACACTAATTCAATGAATCATTCTACGGCAAGGATTCTGGATTTTAGGTGCAACAGGAATTATATAATGAGATACAAGATATATAGTATTCATTACAAATGAAAGATTTATTTAATACATAAAATATCTTAGTTTGCTAGTGAAATTTAAAATATTTGTAGTTGCGTTAAAAGGTAACTGATGCTCACAATCGAATTTGGGAGTAATCATTTTACCAATGTTTACTTATGTTCTCAAAAATACTGATCACTTTTAGAGATGGTTACCACAAGATGGTTCTCTGTACTTTCAGAGGTTTTGCTCACAGTGATGACATGATACAATATGATTTAGTACTATCAATTTCATTACTTTATTAGGTTTATGGTTTTTTGAGAACATTAGACACTGATAAGACTGTTTAACAAGTGTTTAGAAAACATTTTCAATTTATATTATTGCAATACAAATGAAGAAATCACACCCACAAAAAATAATATCACATTCTAAATAGGGGAAACAACACACACACACACACAAAAAAAAAAAAAAAAAAAAAAAAAAAAAAAAAAAAAAAAAAAAAACCTCTGCCTCTCTCTTTCTAACAGCAAACACATTTCCTCCCTTTTAAAATTTTTAATATTGCTTTTAATTACAATTGTTTCATTATTTTTGATTTTTTAATATTTCATAAAGAATAGCCCAATACTAAAAGAAGATACAAATTTAATGGAAAAGAAGCCTCTGAGTAACATATAAAATGTTAAAGAGATATTCTGCAATTTCAGAATTATAAGACTACAAAACTTCTGCATTTAAACTGATAATAAATATTTACAATAAAATAATAAATGCAATATCATTCTGCATAAAATATAGTAATCACAAATAATAACTATAAATTAAAAATAGAGACTAAAATAAATTAGTTTATATTAGAATTAGAATTATCTGTTCAATAATGCAGTATCAATGATATTTTAATCTGTCAGTGATTATAACAATGCAGAGTCAAAGTATATTTCTCATTTTCAAGTTCCCACAAATTGTAACAGTTGTGCAAGAATTTCAATTAATCTCTTACTAGAATTCCCAGAGAATTACTTAGCTAATACATAAAAATATTATATGCTAATATTTTAATAAAACCAAGCCCATTCCTTGTAGCATTGCTTTATGTATTGAAACGAAACTGTACCAATTTCTCAAGATATTCATTCTTTACAAATATAGATATCTAATTTCAGATACATTTTTGAAATATAGTGGTTATACAGCTGTAAAAAGAACATTTATAACCATCTCAAAATTAGAAATTATTAATTGGGCAAAAGATATTTATTTGACTGGTAGAGTATTGTGCTCTATCTACATATGGTTTAGGCCACATATTTTGCATTTCGAAAAAACACATCAGAACGATTTGCATTTGAACTTGCTCCTCCCCCCCCCCTCCCCAGCATAATGTTTATGCAAAATATTTAAAATATATAAAAACTCAGTAAAACTTACTCTAATTGCTTCTGCTTCAGCTTCAGCTTCCATTATAACTCGGTTTCTGAAATTAACACATATTAAATTTCAATGTAAACTGAAGATTTTTATATCTGTACAAGGTTACAGGCAGGAGATTTAACAAAACATGTTATTAGTTGAAGAAATAATCACAAATGCATATGTGTATTTCTCCAGATCTCTCACAAGTTTGTTAATTTTTTGTTATTTAATAGAATTTTACAGTTTATTTATTGACTAGAAGGTTAATAGTTTATAATAATTAAGATATCTGCAATGAAAAATTTTTTTATCAGTATCCCAGTAAAATGCATACGATTACCGTTTGACAGAATAAGATTTTTAAGAATTTTTACAATCCATTAAAGATACTGATCAATGATTCGGTAAATTAGATTTGGTATTAGAAATATTCAATGTTTCCTTTTATAATAAAAACTTGCAGATTTATGACACGTAAAAAAATTACTATTATGGAGGTATTAGATCTTATTAAACAAAATACATGTTTTCTTAAACTACAAAGTAAAAAAGAAATTGAGTCTCTGAAGGTGAGGAGGAGGATCTGAATATATTGTTATTAAAATGTACACAATTTCTTTCAAGTCTTTTTTCCACTTAAAAAACAGTTCTAACTTCCAATCTTCTTAACAAGAAAAAACTAACTAATTAAGCACATAACTTTTATTTATAATGTTGCCTTATCACTCTAATATTCCAAATTTTGGTCATTCCAATAAATAATACATTACGATTTGAAATACCAGAAAGAATACAGACAGAATAATTGAAAAAGATCTAATATTTAACATTTAAATCTTACCAGAATTATATTAAATATACATATTTAATAGCATCTGAAATATTTAAGAGAGAAATAAAAAATAGTAGAAACATTTCCTCAGAACTGTAAATAGCAATGCTGTTATTTCTAAATGAAAATGTATGAAGTTTGAAATTAAGGAAGTTCAAACAAAGTTTATTTTCAAATTCAAGACAGAATTGCAACTGTAGAAATAAGTCGCAAGATTCCCATTGAAAATGAATAGAGAATTTTCCTGATCTTTAACAACCGAACTAAATCATTTTCCTGACCACAAATAATGAACTAATTATCAAATTAACAATATGCACTTGAATAACTTTTTGAACTTACTACAAAATGAAATGAAATTACTAAGAACATTACAAAAATCTACTTTATCTCACTCATTATTCAAAATAAATTGAACAAATGATTACATTTCTAAAGAGAAAGGTTGACAACTACTCACAAGCAAAAAGGCTAAAAGAAGGTATGAGTTCATAAAATTCCATTTGATAATAGGGCAGGTAAAATACTTTCTACACACATACACACAAAACTGATGTGGACACCATGACTTCCTTGTACGGCTTATTAAATTTTACACATTTTTTGCTGCACTTCAATTAAGCTTTTTTTATTATATTATTCTCATTTAATTAACTAACCCCTCAATGCAAATTGAAAATGGTATCAGAAATTGCAAATTTTGACACTAAATATCTTTGTTAATTTTTGTCACATGGCAGACAAACATCTATAAAACTTTCCTAAATATAGGTACAGGAACCAGGAGACCACATAAAAGTAAGATTTCGTATTTATTGAATTTTTTTTTTAATTTGACATTACCAAAATATGAATTTTTTCATCATTTATAAAACACTTCCATAATTGGAAATACATGACTACAACCAACAATTGCGAAAATAAAAGCCAGGTACAGACTTTAAAGCCGAGTAAGGGGCTAAGGATATGTTTGGTACTGCCAACTGCAATAAAAAAGGGAGATGCACACTAGATGTTATAGCAGTCCCATATACAAAATTTCAATGTTCCGGTTAATCATTTTTTTAGCTATGTAAAATACATAATACATATGTACACTGCCCCAAAAAAAGGGGAGACAGTTCTATATCTCCCGTTCTACTAAACCAATTGACGAAATTCAGATTGCGTTTTTCATGTCTCGAAAGTGCAACTTAGGATAAATATTAGATTTATATATAGCATTATTCTAACAGGAATTTTGACACAAAATCGAACCTTTTCTGAAATAACATACCAAATTTTTTCCATATTTCGATTCTACGACTTATGTCAGACTGCGAAGTTTCGTAAAAAATCGCATGAGTAGTTTTTAAAAAATTAGTTCTCAATGTTAACTGAATTTTAGTTCCTCAATGTTAACTGAATTTGGTATATATTTATTAATATCTCTTTGTTTATTAAACTTTTTTTATTCTTTCTTTCACATTTCGAAATTTAGGTTCATTCCAAATAAAATTCATCCATTTTTTATGATTTATTTTTAAAATTTCTACTTTAAAAAATAAATTTTATAAATTTTTAGAAACAAATTTTGAATTGTAACCTATAAAATTTTTACCATTATCTTAAAGTAAGTGTATTTCTAAGCATACCTGCAATAAATTAGTTTTTTTTATTTTTTTATTCAAAATTTTCTAAGATACACAAGAATTTACATATTTTCGCATTTTGAAATTTGGCATCTTTTTGAGTGATATTAATGCCAAATGTGGTTTATGGATTTTGTTATAGTGAATTGCCACAGCTATTTTTACTTTACATTTCAAATACATTTTTAAAGAGAATTATTTGTATGAATTTTTTTCCCTCAATGATGTGTAATAAATATTTATTAATACTATACGAAAAGCTATTTTTTAAAATTATTGATGATATTATTCAAATTTTAAACTTTTTTTAAAATTTCTTTCTTTTTAAATATTTGTAAGAGTAAATTTTTACCTTCGCCCTGTTATTGTCTGCTACTTTACTTTAACTGCATTTAAACTGAATTGTCTAAAACTGAGAAAGTTTGTTTGATGTTTATTTTCATAATGTTTTTAAGTAAACAGGACGTTGACGGTTTGAGTCATGTCCCAGCTTTAAAAAAAAAATTATATAAATATAAATTTTTATATTAATCCTCTTAGAAAGAATGTTTTAAGCAGTAATTTTCTCTAATGTTGTAGATTATGTAAAAAACATGTTCTTTAATACAGAAATTATTAAGCTTAAAAACTCTAAATAATATGATTTAGATTGTTTACACCAGATATAAGAATCGGGTCACTAGGGGGTAAAAAGAAAAAATTTAAAGGGAATCTATTTAAAGGAAGTTGGGTGTTCAAAAAGAAAACACTTGGACATGTACACCAGCAAATAGCAGCATCTGAGTTTGTGCTAAAAAACAAAAAAAAAAAAAAAAAAAAAAAAAAAATTGATCTCATTGCAGATTAAAGTGAAAAGTGACTGATTTTCAACTAATTGATTGCATAGATTTAAATTACGTCATAGAACAAATTACGTCATATCGTCATTGAACGATTATGCCATAGAAATTACGTCAAATTACAAAACAGAATAAATTATGTCGTATTTAAATTACATCATATCATATCATAAATGGAGCATCCCATGATTTCTCAGTCGAATTATTTGAAGATACAGGAATTTATCCAGTGCGTATATGGATATCATCTAAAGACATTTTCCCTCTTGAAGAAACCAGTCTTTCCTTTCATCTCATGCCTTCAAAATGCCTAGCCTCTAAAGACTGATAAAGGCTCTGACCAAATACTCATGAAATGGAATGAATTGGATTGTTATGTTATGGCAAAGCAGGGCTATCTGCCGAAAAGGAGAGAGGCCTTCGTGAAAAACTTTCTAAGGGTAACCAACTCGTATACATGAGAAAAACCCTGAAAACAATAACAATTATAATTTAAAAAATATAATATAAAGAATATTATTTAAAAGAAAGAACAATGTAAAATATTATTTAAACGAAAGAAAAATGTAGCTTTTTTTCCCGTGCACGCACAATGTAAAAAGGGAAAGGAAAATAGGTTGCCATATATTAAGAAGTTTGCCAAGTGAACTATTCCTGGCACAAACTGAAAACTAAAAAAAAAAAAAAAAAAAAAAAAAAAAAAAAAAAAAAAAAGCACCAAGATAAATATTTGAATTTCTCCATAAATTCTGCACCAAATTATACAAAATTTAATATTTAGGCATAATTTAAGTCGTAGAATCGAAATATACAAAAAAATTGGCATTTCAGGAAAAGTCCAATTTTGTGTCAAAATACTTATGTTAGAATAATGCTATATATAAATCTAATATATAACCTAAGTCGCACTTTCGAGACATGAAAAATGCAATTTGAATTTCATCAATCGGGCTAATAGAATGGGAGATACAGAACTGCCCCCCTTTTTTTTTGCGCAGTGTACATTTCAGGATTACAGTACTTTCTTGTACAAAGTAAAGGAAATATTGCAGAAGTATTGGAAGAAAAAAAAGAGAGACACACACTGATAATTTTTCATTTGTTATCTTTTTAAGTTATTGTTCATTGCTTATTGTTTAAAGCATCAAATTCTTATTATTTAATATGACTGATCTGTACTTTTTATACTTTTTTTATGATTTTCCAACTTTTTGGAAAAGCCTTTATATTTTCCCTGACCATTTTTCATTTTCCTGCTTTTCTAGAACGTTTTAGGATCTTCAAATCAATCAAAATTCTAGAGCTGATGACAAAATTTTATGCAATTCTTAAAATTTTACACTTATTGCTTTATGAGATAATTTAATTGATGAATCACTTCTTTATATAGTGTCTTAAACATGCCCTAATTAAAAAAAAAAAAACTGCTAGCAAACCTGTTAGCTTCTGCAAGTTTCTCTAGTCGATACTTCTCTGCTTCGGCAGGACGTCTAATAGTTGCTTCCAATTCCTTTTCTTTGCGCAAGATTTCTTGTTCTTGTACTTGAATTTCCTGTGTCCTTTCAATTACTTTTACTTGCATTTGTTCTTCTTTAATTTTTTGTCTTGTCTTTGCAGCTTGGAGATTGAATGCTAAATCTGATTCAGCTCTCTTTAGAGGGAGAAAAAAATCTTAATTATCTGTCAAAGCACAAGTCTCAAAGGCACACATAAACACTGAAAATGAATAGCAACAAAAAATGTTATCTATTATGAAAAGCACGTTTCAAGTAAAAAGAATATTATTTGCAAACAGAAATGATACTTCTTATGATTAAAATTATACAGTATTAAATGTATGAATGTATACATATATATGGTTTAGTTTTTTAAATTATACAACGTTTGCAAAAGATGCAAAGCAGCTTTATAACTGATAAAAATAGTCTTCTTTTCATTAAATTTTCCTAAAGCATAATAATTTATTTGAAATAACTTTTTTACATGAAATACCAATAAAATTGAATTTTGCTATTTATTAAAATATTTGTTTTGCATTTTTTTATACAAAAGTGACAGAAATAAAAACTGATGTAAGATTTCTCTGCATCTTATCATTAAATGTTTTATTTTCAGTACTTCCAATATATTAAATAAAATCACTTGGCATAAAACAATTTAATTTCAATATCTGAATTTTGAATTTTTTCCTGTTTTTTTAATTCCTTCATAAAATTAATGTATTTTCTCCCACTGTTATAATTGGTTAATTACCTGTTAATTAAAAAAATTTCTCACTGTTAACTGAAAAATGTTTTTTCAATGCATTTTTATTTAAATTTGACAAAGAGATATAGAATATAAAAAATAATTTGTAGTTTGTCCTTCCTATGCTGCTAGTTTTATGGAATGAACTAAGATGGATATTTTAATAATAACAGTTCATGAAAGTAGGAATTTATGAATAGAACTGCTCTTATTTACATTATATGACTTTAAAAAAATTGTATAGTCAGATAATTTTACTATAGTACAAAGTCCAAGATCCGGACTCCTTGGGATCTTGGACTTTGTACTATAGTAAAATTATCTGACCTGATTTTTCCGGATATTAGATCACCACATTAAATCTGGTAAGATGGCATGTAGAAATTAAAATATGAAATTGTGATTTATGAAATAATGAAGCATTTATGATCTAAAGGGAGTCAAAATTTACAAAAAAGGCTTAATATTTATTTGTTTACTTTAATAAAAATTTTTTTAACTTTTGTGCTAATACTTTCTCTTTAATTCTTTAGAGAGACATAATTTTTTGTTCAGTTACAAAGTTCCACTTTTTTCAAGTCCTGCAATTGCTGTTTCAAGAATTGCAACTAACTTATCAATCAAATTTTTTTCATTTTCAGTAACTTCTCTGTCTTTTTCTTCACTATCGGTAGCAGTATTTTCTGGTTCTAGAACCATACTACAGATTTCGCCATCCGTTTATTGATTGATATTTGGGCATTATTATCACAATGAAAAACTTCTGCTATATTATCTTCATTTATACTTCTCCACATTTCTTTAAAAAATCTATTAATTCGAAAATATCATCTTTGGTTTGCAATATCTGGAAACCTTCAAACTTGTGGCTTATCATCTTCATCATCCAAGAAATATGGTAATTAGCCATAATTATATGAAGCATTTATTAATGTATCTGGAGACACATCCTCCCACGATCTTGCGATGCTCCACACAGCATATTTTATGCCAAAATATTTCAAAATTTCTTGAACAGACCTGCATTATACAAGAAATTTAACAATGCTACTTTATATTTGCAATTCAGCGTGAGCACTATACAATATCCATAAGCTGAATGATGGATGTGTAGTTTGAAGGAGAGAATAATACAGATACATTATCTTTTTCTAAAACTAAGTGAAGTGTGAGCCAAACAGTTGTCTACAATCAAGACAATTTTTGTGTTATCAGGTAAATGAAATGAATGAAATGAATTCAAATGTTGCTGAGTTCCAGGTATAAAATGATTTTTAAACCAATCGTTCATTAATATTTGTGTCATCCATGCTCTTTTATTTTCACGATATATAACACGGAAATTCATTACTCCTTTAAATGCTCGAGCTCGTGTGTTTTTTCTGATTACGAAAAGTTTACACTTGTGTGTTCCTGCAGCATTTGTGCATGCTAAATTGTTAGTTTCGCTTTTGAATCTTTGACACCAATTGGAGCCTTTTTTGTAGAGATTGCCACGGTATTTCTTGGAATATATTGCCAGAAAAGACCAGATTCATCAGCATTGTAAATTTCATCTGGAGATAACTTTTCACTATTAATGAGGTCAATGAATTCATTTGCAAATAGTTCAGCAGCTTTCACCTGAAATTTTAATTACTTTTATACCATGGCGATTTTGAAATTTGGTTAACCAATCTGTTGTACATGTGCACTCAGATTTTAAGTTCATTTCTTCATGAAATATTTTTGCTTGGGTCATTAGCACTATCTGTCAATGGCACGCCTACCATTACCGAGTTGCTTTCAGGACTTAGCATCTGCTGGGCATTAAATATTAAAGCAAATTCAGTTTTGCTAATTTAAAACATCAGCTAAAATATATCAAATTACATTGTTAACTTACCTTAATCACCAATAAATATGCATTGCAAAGAAATTAGCTTTTAAAAGTGTTTTGTTAAGAATAACCCACATATAAATACTATATTTAATGAAATGTCACAAGCAAATTATGCACCTTTGTATAAAAAAAAAAAAAAAAAAAAAAAAAAAAAAGTTAGATTTTAAAGTCCCAATTTTCTTTTTCTCACTAAAAAGTACTAAATCATAGCATTTTGTTTACTTCATATGTAATTCAAGTTATTCATTAAATCAGTGTGACTTCCCCCCTTAATTGAAGTATCTTCTATAGAAATTAGTATATACATATAAGTAGAATTAACACCTTACAGTGAAATGCCAGTGAATACATCATTGAATTTAATTAATCAGTTATTTTTATGCTAATTCCTTTCTTTCAACATCCACCACAAGGCAAATTAATTTAAATAGCAAGCTTCAGCAATTAGTATTTATACAGCATAGTAAAGAAGGGTTACATTATGTTGACATACAATTCAACAAATATGAAAGCCACACATTGCTGTGCAGATGAAAACGACAAAGTGATTATTTAGCTATTCACAGCTTAAGGATAGGAGGAGAGAGCCGTATACGAATCAGAACTACATAAAAGTAATTCATTGGTGTGTTTTAAATACTTTTTATAAATATGAAGCTCTGCAAGCAATAGTGGACATTTTTATTAATTTTGCGTTTTAAAGTCTACTATGAGTTGCATCAAATAAGTATTTGAATTTTTAAATTTGTATGCTATTGAAGTTAAATTAATATATTTATATATTTAGCGATAGTAATAATTCATCCAACCAACACTTCATCTCACTAACACAATATTTAGCAACATAAAGGATACATAGTTAAGCTACACCTTATAACAATGTCTCAAACTGGCAGCAGGTTTATGTGGTCCACGAAGTCATTTCAATTATGAATTTGTTGCAAATATAGTGTTAGAAATATTTTAATTACAATAAAACTTACTCTGCATTTACATTATTATTATTAAAAATTAATGCATAAATATGTAATAAAAATTTAATGCATAAACAAATTACCGTGTAAAAATTAAAACGGACCATAAAAAAATCTTTAAATGGGGCTAATTAATTTATAATGTGATATAAATCTTATTCAAAGATTTAAAGACACAAATTTTATTAACTTTTACTCATACTTGTCAAAAAATAAATCAATTACAAATTTTTGTGCTAAGAATAATCTCTTTATTTGGAAATATATTTATTTATGTGTGAATAGTTTGTTTTTCCCTCCCCCCACAACCACAGTTGAAAATTTAAAAGAAAAAAAAAATAATTATAATAAAATTAATTGATATTTAATTAATTAATTAATTAATTATAATAGATTAATTGATAATATACAATCTGTGATGAAGATAATTTCTAGTAATTTCTTTCCAAGGCAACAAACTTTATCAAAATTGAAACAGCATCAAGAGTCACACAGTAGTAAAAAATAAAAGAAGTTTATAATTATTTACATACAAGCATATGTATTTTTATATCAGTATTGAAGAAAATGTAGTAAATATAAGAAAGTTGCTAAGATGTCATTATTTATTCTCAAGATTTGTCTTACTTGAAAACTTTTCTCAGTAAAGTTGCAGAAAGTTTTCATTGTTTCTTTCAATTTAAATTAAAGTGTCTTATTTAAAGATTAATTAAATATATTAGAACTATTTTAAATAAATGTCAGTCTGAAAATTAAATATTTAGCTATTAATATGTTTCAATTACTAAATGCAACAATCAAAAATGCCTTGGAGATACCAAACTTTAGATTCGGATAGAAAATAAATATAAGTATCAATTTTTCTCATTAAATTACTATTATTGTTTATGCATGTTTTTAAAAAATACTTATAAAGCAAAAAAAATTTGAAATTTATTTAAAAACTATTTTTTATTTTATTAATTAAAAATATATGGAAAAAAATGTTTAAAAAAAATTCTGGCCCATTAGTTCTTTTCAGATTGTGCATGTGGCTTGAAGGCAATTTTAGTTTGAGACCACTGCACTAAAATAATAGCAACTAAATAAATATAAGCACATAAAAAATTAAATTAAGGTAAAGCTTTATTCTCATTGCAAGAAAATGATTTTTATCTTAATTTACATGCATTACTCAATACAAATAATTATTAAAATGCATTCCAATCTTGCTACTAGATGGCGGGCATTCTTCCTTTCTTTTTCTCTGGAAACGAGATGAGATTCGAGTCGCTCTGAGGAGCGAAAAGACTTCTGACTTTAACAACTAATATGTACGTTCTTGAAGTAATTATCATTTACCATGTAAATATTGTAAAATAAAAGATATGTGAAAATAAATAGTCGTTAAGACTTAACTGAAGTAGTGATTTGAATCGAATATAGAAGATGAAATAAAAATCGAAAGCTCTCCCAAACAGAACTATGGATTAGAAATCAAAATGCTTGATGCAATAAGTAGACTCATCAAATCAGAAATGAATTTTTGGAATCATATAAGTTGAATAGGTAAGTGACCCTACATTTCAAGAAGCTTCCAAATTACAAATCATTTATTTTTAACATAAATTAAACTTATCCTCTAGCTCAGGATGAGGAACTTTCAAAAGTTCAAGAAAGATGAGCCACCACTTCATATTTTCATCACTACATTAAATAATTAACAGTAATAAATAAAAGAGGCATCAGTAAACACATATTGAAATAAATTAAACTAACTAAAACTAAACTCGGTGACACAAACAGCCCTTAGATAGCCATGGCCAGCAGTGCCAATATTTGCTTTGTAGACCGTGGGCCCCAAGGTGCATGAGCATATAGCCTGGAAAAGTGGTCAGCTTGTCACAGGACCCCCAATGTTTAGTCCCCAAGCAAACTTGGTACTCAATTTATCCACCCTTTCAAGGAATGAAAGGCTGAGGTCAACCTTACCCAGCCCGAACCTGTGGTGCTGCTGCGCGACGCGCTAACCACTGCGCCACCAGGTCTCTATTGAAATTATATTTATGATACAAACAAAAATATTTCATATGCTTTTAATCACAATATATTATCATGTTAACTGCATAAAAAACACAATTTTACAACAATAGGAAAAACTTTAAAAAAAAAAGTAATCATAAGATCCGATTTTAAAACACTGCACATTTATACATACTTTTGTATTCACTTCCATATCATATGCTGCTTTTTTTAACTCAAAATCTCTCTGGGATTTTGCTATTTCAGTATCATTAACATAACGTGCAGCCATGCGCTCCTCTTCAGCCAGAGCTTCCTGAAATAATAAAACAGAAGTGTTTCAATTTCATAAAAATGCTTAAAACTTCAATGCAGAACTACTATTTTGAAACAACAATAGAGATTTTGGGAAGCAGAAAAAAGAAATAACAATCAGACATGAAAATATTTTCCTTCTAAAAGAAATTACCTTTATTTGTGAATCACGCTTTGCTTCAGCTTCACCAATACGAGCATCTCGTTTAACTTGAGCAGTTCGAGCCATTCCAAGGGCTTTTAAGTAGCCCTATAAAAATAAATATTCAAAGTATGGCAATCATGCAACTGCTAATTGGAAAAGAAGAAGGGGGGAATTCATGTTTCTTACTTGATCATCACTGATATCCTTAATTGTATAGGAAATAACTGTAATCCCCATGTTAATTAAATCTGATGAAGCTACTTCAAAGACTTGCTTTGAAAATTTCTTGCGATCCTTATATATTTCCTGTAATATTTGAAAAATTATAAATGTGTGATATAAAAACTTCATTGAACAGAAAATGAGTTTCAATTAAAAAAGAATTAAATATACATAGTTTATATTTTTTGCAGAAACATATACGTGATCCATTGTGATTAAAATAATAAGGAAACGAAGAAACACTTTGGGGGCTTAAATAAACAAAAAAATGTTTTAAATGCATAATATATTATAAAAATGAGAAAAGAGGTAAAAGATGAGATGAAAAAAGAAAAAATAATTTGATTTTACTAACAGCATTCTGGGTTGTTAGGCTTTTGGGCTGTTTAACCAGTTAAATAAAGCTTTTAAAATGTATCTGTGTTTATTTTTCTTAAACAAAAGAATTAAATTTTTATAATTTAAAAAACATAATAAGCTCCTGTTTAACTAGCCTGTATGGGACAAGACCTCAGGTCAAACAAACAAATGGCCAGTTAATCAGAAAATTAATACAAAATAGCCTTCATAGGCTTTAAAAGAAATTTAAAAAAAATTATGCATTATGTAGGGTATATCAACCTATACTGCCAATTATTTAGTTAGTTAAAAAAGTTTTTTATTTCATTTTTTAAGCAAAAAATTGCATTATTTTCTTCAAGTAGTATTGTAAGGATCGTAAGTTTTACTAACGTTTATTTTATTTTAAATCTTTACTATCACTTCTTATTTTCTACTTCCGGCCAGAATTAAAAGCTTTTAACTTATTTATGCAAATTCGTCTTGCTAATGCCAAGTACTTAAGTTGTGGCTTTTTGCCAAGCAAGAGAGAGGAAGGAGTTATTAGAAGCAGGCCGCTTGCCATAGTAGTTTTACTCAGTTGCTGGTTGCCTTCAAGGCCAGAGGTTTAATCCTCGTGATAATTTTAAACGTATCGTAGTTTTAGCAGCTCTCTGTACTACATGCGGCTTTTTGTTAATTTATGGCCAATCTTGGAGTTAGGCACTTGTTTATTAATCCAAAGTTAGTTTAGAGTTTTAGTTAATATTTTTATATTCTTACGTTCAGACAAGTGGTTGGTCTCTGTATTCCGAAGTTCCGGAAATCATTGTAAAGAGAGAAAAATAAAGGGTTTCGTATACCCTTCCTGTGTGTATTGTCTACTTCACAATTTATTGAACATAGCTTGAGTAAGCTCCCTGTTCTGAGTCAGGACAGTTAACGTTTCCAAAGCAAGTAAAGAGGAACACAGAACCTGATAGTGGTGCCCGATGAAGAAGAATAACCATGGCCGAGTTTCAAGAAGAACCTGTGCTGCCTGCAGTAGCGGCTCAGAATCCAGAAATGCCAGCTGCCGCCCTGGAAGGATTTGGTTACATCGTCCAGACCATGCGCGCTTCGATGAAACCAGAAGCAAATTGGGAAACTGGTAACCAGTTTTTTGGAAAAATTGGATGACCACTTCATGCTGTATCCAGTACATGAGTTCCAGAGAGTCACCTTAGCTACCAGCGCTTTGAGGGGCCAAGCGCTTAATTGGTTCAAATGTATAGGCAGAAGCCTCTTGGGTCAAGCGGGAAGTCCCACCTATTCCCCAAGTACAAGACTTTATTGAATTAAGGAATCCGACTACACTGGAATAGTTATTTGAGCTAGCAATCCAGTTTGAAAGTAGAAGAACGGCGGACATTGAAAGAAGACGCCAGTATGAGCAACGAAGACAATTTGGTGCGCCAAGACCAAAGCAAAGTCAAGAACACGGCTACGGAAGCAAAGCGAATCAGTGGGCAAGGAAACCCAAGTCTCAGAAAAAAACTGGCGAACGTCGACAGTTCAAATAGTCTAAGCCAGAAAAAAAAGTCTGAAAAGCCAAGGCCAACAAAACCCTGACCAAAATTCAAGGAAAAAATACAGTTAAATAAAAAAAATTTGACTCTTCCAAAGATTGAAGTTTTGGTGAATAACATCCCAGCCACCGCACTCCTGGATACAGGCGCGCAGTGTTCCTGTGTGGCAGAAGAGATTTTTTTTAGGAAGTATTTCCGTAAATACCGCATATATAATTCGGATAATACGACAGTGTTAGCTGCGCAGGGAGAAAGATGCAAGTGCATAGGTAAATTACCATTATACATTCGTATCAAGGACCAAGCAAAGTAAAGATAATGTTTTTTTATTTGTAAAAAATTTACAAGCAGATGTCATTTTAGGGATAGATTTTCTTTCAGAGGCAGAAGCAACGCTTAACGATTTAAGCATCCCTTAAGCTGACGACGAAACCAGTTAAACCACCGACGTTAAACCTCAACCACCTGCCTAATGAAGAGAAACAAAGAAACTGACAAGTGGTAAGTGAATTTGCTTCGTTATTTAGTGATATTCCAGGATTTACTCAAGTTACTAACCATAGTATTGACACCGGAGATTCAATGCCAGTTCGCCACAAAGCATACCGGTATGATAAGAATAAAGAAAAAATTATAGAATGGCACATCAGCGATATGCTACGTAAAAAGATCATTACCGCTGTATGTCCGTATCAAGGACGAACAAGTAAAGGTTATGTTTTGTATAGTAAAGAATCTGCAAGCACATATTATCTTAGGAACAGATTTTCTTTCAGAGGCACAAGCAACGCTGGATTTTAATGAAGCGTCCCTTAAGCTGACGATGAAACCAGTTCGAGAAGAAAAATCGGAGCCGCCGATGTTAAACCTTGACCACCTGCCTAATGAAGAGCAACAAAGAATCTGACAAGTGTGTAAGTGAATTTGCTTCGTTATTTAGTGATATTCCAGGATTTACTCAAGTTACTAACCATAGTATTGACACCGGAGATTCAATGCCAGTTCGCCACAAAGCATACCGGTATGATAAGAATAAAGAAAAAATTATAGAATGGCACATCAGCGATATGCTACGTAAAAAGATCATAACGCCCATCTCAAGTAGTTATGCTAGCCCGGTTGTGTTATGTAAGAAAAATAATGACTATCCGGTAACACATCCAAAAACGTGGCATTTTGCAATTGACTATCGTAAATTAAACTCCATCACTAAATATCTGGTATATCCATTACCTATTATTGAAGAAATTCTAAGGAACATAACTTCTACCAAATATATGACCAGGTTAGACTTAACGATTGGTTATTTTCAAATAGGGGTTAAACCGAAAGATGTGCCTAAGACTCCTTCTATAACCAAGTCTGGCACTTATGCATCCTTGCGTATGCCGTTTGGCCTTTCAGGGGCACCGGCAACATTTCAGCGATGTATGGACATTGTGCTAAGGCCTGTTCTTGGAAAGTCCACATTTATCTATTTAGACGATATCATTATTACTAGTGATAATCTCGACCACATGTACAGGATTTAAGACAGGTGTTTTCATTATTAAATGAGGCCGGTCTAAAAGTTAATGTAAAAAAGTGCAAATTTGCAGCCCCTGAATTAAAATACTTAGGTTACAAAAATATCTCAGAAAGGAATCGAGACAGACGAATCAAAAAATAATCGCTGTGCAAAAGTATCCGCCGCCAAATACGGCGAAGAAGCTCTCTTCTTTTCTAGGACTTGTTCATATTATAGGTCCTTTATAAAAGATTTTGCAGCTATTGCTGAACCATTGTTAAAATTAAAAAGGAAAAAAGGCAAGATTCTCGTGGACGGCCGAAGCCAATAGTGCTTTCGAAAAATTAAAGCAAGCATTAACACAAGCCCCTGTTTTGAAATTTCCTGAGAACGATGAGAATTTAGAAATTTCAGCGGATGCTTCGGATTATGCGGTGGGAGCGGTACTTTCCGCAAAATCAGCAGCCCGTGGCATTTTTTAGTAGAACTTTAAATCAAAAACAACAAAGAAATTATTCCGCGACTGAGAGAGAGGCACTTGCAGTTCTGTTAGCAGTGCAAAAGTTCCGAGTCTATTTTGGAAAGGCGCCAAGTAACAGTGTATTCTGATCATGCGGTGGTAACTAGAGTAACTAGATTGTACTCAGGGAAAAAAACTTATCCCCAAGGTTAATAAGATGGGCACTCAAGTTACAAGAGTATAATCTGGTAATCAAGCACACTCCCCAAAAAGGAAAATATTGTAGCAGATGCCCTATCCAGAATAAAAATAGATGAAGAAGGTAATATGTAAAGGTGGCAATGCTCACAGCATGTACGATACATTCCCGAGATACCGTAATAACCGAACTGGGTAAGGATCCTGAATTTAAAAACATTTATGAGTATTTAAAGGATCCTGAAAATTTTAGCCACCAAGATATTGTGGCGATAAGAAATAGGGCGGCCCATTACGAACTAACAGAAGGTCTATTATTTTATACAAAAACTACGATTTCCAACAACGAATTTTGACCTGTTATCCCAGCTAGTCTTAGATTAAATATACTGCAGGAGTTACACGACACCCCATTAGCTTCTCATGCTGGTATTCGAAAAACCATCCAACGCATACACGAAGCAGTATATTTTCCTGAGCTGTAAAGTTAACAAGGGCGTATGGCCAGTCCTGCCCAACATGTCAAGCAGTTAATTATATTAATTTCCGCCCGGCCGGGTTTCTAAATAGCATTAAATCTGAATTTCCAAATGAAATAATTGGCATCGATTTATTGAGCCCTTTCCCAAAAAGTCAGTTAAATAAAAGTCGCTATCTCCTTGTTATGGTTGATCATTTTAGTAAGTGGACCGAAACTGTTCCCTTAAAACGAGCCTCTGCGAAATTAGTTACGGATTCTATTTTAAATAAATATATTTTAAAATACGCGGCGCCCCTAAAAGTTATATCGGATAATGGTCCTCAATTTGTAAGTAATATATTTGAAGACATGTGCCAAAAACTGGGCATACGTCATCTAGAAATGGTCCCGTATCAGCCACAATCAAAGATAGCGGAATGGGTCAATAGAAATATAGTGAAAATTATCCATAGTTATGTTAAAAATTTTCATAAAAGCTGGGATAACTATGTCAATGAATTAGCTTTCGCCCTTAGGACCGCAAAACATGATACAACGGGCAAAACTCCTGCTGACTTATTTTTAGGCAGAAAGATTATAACGCCGTTAGATAAATTATTTTATGTTCAACAAAGAGCCCCAGAATTTAAAATGGGCGATATAGAAAAATTAATTAAAGAAGCAAAGAAGAACACTGAATTAGCACAAGAGAAAACAGAAAGCTGTATTACGATGAATGTAAACGACAAGGAGTAACTTATAAAGTAGGAGATGAAGTGTTAAAAATTAAGCATTCACTTTCTTCAGCACCAGAAGATAAAACTGCCAAATTTTATCCATGATTTGAAGGACCATATGTCATAGAAGAAATAACTCAGGCTGTAGTGGTGTTAAAAGCCAGTAATGGTGAAACTTGCACCGCAAACATTGACCAGATAAAACCATTCTATAATCGTAATAAAATGCAAATATTTAAAGATCTTTTGCAGGATCCGGCACTGCAGGCACAAGCTCCAGAGGTGGAACAACGACAATCACAAGGGCAAGCCATGAGTAGACAAGAGCAATTGAAACATTAGTGTTTTGATTGCAGGCGGTAGTGTTGAACACTTGTACATAGACACGTTCGTGTTTGGTGTTTTCCTTTACAACACGTCAGAGAGCACGGGGAGATGCAGTACAGATGAAAAATCTTGTTCATGGAGTTGATAATGTAAAAACGACTTTTTTTAATTTCTAGTTTGATAGTTTGTAAAAGATTGGCCTCGCGTTAGATTCTAGAGCTAAAAGTTTTCAACAAGGTCGTTTTAGACCTCAGTTTCAAACTAATTAACTCTGGCGGGAAGTATGTAAGGATCCTAAGTTTTACTTAACGTTTATTTTATTTTAAAACTTTACTATCACTTCTTATTTTCTACTTCCGGCCAGAATTAAAAGCTTTTAACTTATTTATGCAAATTTGTCTTGCTAACGCCAAGTACTTAAGTTGTGGCTTTTTGCCAAGCAAGAGAGAGGAAGGAGTTATTAGAAGGAGGCCGCTTGCCATAGTAGTTTTACTTGGTTGCTGGTTGCCTTCAAGGCCAGAGGTTTAATCCTCGTGATAATTTTAAACGTATCGTAGTTTTAGCAGCTCTCTGTACTACATGCGGCTTTTTGTTAATTTATGGCCAATCTTGGAGTTAGGCACTTGTTTATTAATCCAAAGTTAGTTTAGAGTTTTAGTTAATATTTTTATATTCTTATGTTCAGACCACAAGTGTTTGGTCTCTGTATTCCGAAGTTCCAGAAATCATTGTAAAGGAGAAAAATAAAGGGTTTCGTATACCCTTCCTGTGTGTTAAGCTCCCTGTTCCCGAGTCAGGACGGTTAATGTTTCCAAAGCAAGTAAAGAGGAACACAGAACCTTATAGTATGATCACATGAATAGAGATAATATCAAGAATGGATAAAGTGTTTTATTTGATAAGCTTCATTATTTGTTTCAATAGTTACCAAGTTCCAATTCCTTACATTTTTAAATTCAAATTACTGTAAATTACAGAAACTACAAAAATTAGAAAAAAAAAAATACGTGTACACAGAGAAATTATTAGTTTGTCCAGAAAGTTCACGCCAATTTTTGGTAGGTGGCATAAGGACAGGTCTGAATAGATCAGAATGATTGAAAACAAATGATATGCATACATATCGTAAAAGACTCCAGGCATATTTGGAAAAAAATTTGGTTATGATATATTAACTTTTGATAATTTTATATGCTTTTGAATACGTAAGAAAACAAAGTGCACTTTAGACACTTAATGCTTTTTTTACCAGAAAGGCAAAAATGCACACAATCAGGAAACAAGTTAGGCACTGTTTATGACAAAGATGCTGTAGCTGAAAGAACTGTGCAGAAGTGGTTTGCTAGGTTTAAAGCTGGTAATTTCAACCTTAAAGATCAAGAATGCCTAGTAGGCCCTCCACAACAGATAAAGATCAGATTAAAATACTGATAGAGAATAACCAATGCTATATGACATGTAAATTAGCAGAAATGTTAAATATGTCAAAATCCACCATCCATGAGCATTTTGTGAAGAATGGCGACATAAAACGTTTTGATGTACAGATTCCCAGCAATTTAATAGAGAAAGATCTGATGTATCGCATTTCCATTTGTGATTTACTCTATAAATGCAATGAGCAGACAACATTTTTAAAGCAATTAGTGATGGAGGATGGAAAATGGATCATTTATAATTATGTTGAGTGAAAAAGATCTTGGGGAAAGCTGAATGAATCTCCTTTAGCTACCCCAAAAGCTGGTCATCATTCAAAGAAGGTGATGCTCTGTGTCTGGTGAGATTGGAAAGGGATCATGCTTTATGAGCATTTATCAAATGAGACGATAAATTCAGAGAAGTATAGTTCCCAATGAGATGAATTAAAGACAGCAAATAAACAAAAATGTCCAGAAATAGCAAATCGGAAGGGCTTCTTTTTTCATCAAGATAATGTGTGGCCTCACGGGTCTTTGGTAATACGATAGAAGTTGCTAGAGCTTGGTTGGGATATTCTACCCCATCCCATATTCACCAGACCTTGTGCCTCTGATTTCCACCTATTTCGATCATTACAAAATTCTCTTAATGAAAAAAACTTCAAATCATTGGTCGAAATATAAAATCACATAGAAAAGGTTTTTTCTGAAAAACCTAAGATATTCTGGAAAGACAGAATTTTCAAGTTGCTTGAAAGATGGAGAAACGTTGTAGAACAGAATGGTACCCAAATAATTTAATATATATTTATATACATACTAAAATTTAAATCTCCTGCAGTTCAATTTTCATTCAAAATCAGTATGAAGTTTCCAAACAACTCAATACAATGTAAAAGGAACAGATAACTATTACTAACTGAAGCATAAATTCAGTAGTTTTAAAAACTAAGATTTGCAATGATTTTATTTCACTCTATTTGCTTGAATTTAGTACAACCTCCTTTCACTCCACTCAATATGAACTGTTTAGTTCTACGAATGAAATGACATCTATACAGTTATATCTTTTTATACTTATTTTTACAGTTGCAAATTTATGGCAGATGGATTTTGTTTTTGGCAGAGAAAATTAGTATGTCTTACAGAAAAGATTCTGAAGGAAAACAAGTCTAGCAAAGTAACTGAAAATGAATCAAATGTTTCCATGAAAGTAATACAAAGAAGACTGTCAATACTCAGAAAAATTTTAATTTGCATGCAGATTAAGGCTTCATATGCTATACCTTAATGAAGTAAATTACACAGACCTTAATAAAATACATTAGGAAATTTAAGTATAAAATTAAAAAAATTAAAATTTTCATCAAATTATAAACAAGTGCGATTAATTGTAAACTTAGAAATTCAACTATTATATTCAAATATTTATACCTCAACAGACATTGTACACATAATAGCTCTTTGATGGCCTTCTAAGGTCTCCCTAGCAACATTCATTATCTGCTTGGTAGATTTTCCCAAAAACTGTTCACAAGCTGCACGGAGCATTTCCATATTTTGGCCTTGTATTTTGACCTGCAGTCATTAATAAAAATAAATGTTAGTTAATTTCAAAATGTTAATTAATTTCAAAAAGTCTAATTTCATAATGCACACTAAATTACTTCTCTCCCCAGCTCCCCCCCCCAAAAAAGTCTAAGAGGTTTGAGATTTTAATACTTGCCCAAAAAGGTTTGTTAAGTGTTTTTTACACACTCGCTGAGTTTACAATCTATCAGCCTGCATTTGCACTCACTCCTGCTAATCCATTTTTTCTGTCTGTTAAGCTTTATTATTAAGCATCCTTTTCTCTGCACTTACTCTAAAATACAGTTTAATTTTAAAAAAATCAAAACCTTTTTAAAAGCTGCATAGCAGCATATGTTCCTGATGCAGTGTTAAGTGTTGACACATATTTTTATATTTTTTTTTCAGTCTTTTCTCATTATCTCAATATTCAGTTTTCTTAATAAAATGGCTAACAATTTTTTACGTGTGTCTTTTTATTATTAGCTTTTCATGTATTAACTTTATTTATTAAATATCATATTCTTTGCTTTTACACCATGTAAAATTCAACAGCAAAATCATAAAATATTCAAAAACAGCATATCTTTAGAATTGCTGATAGAGTGTTAGAGGTTGCCATACAATTTTTTATATTTACCATATTATTTCTTTAAAAACTAGCTGCTAGTGTGATCTGCACTCCTAAAATCAGTATATCATAAAAAAGTAAAAGGAAATAGAAATAGTTACCATACAAAAGAAAAAGTAAATAATGATTTTAATCAGTCAAACTAGTATAATTTCATAAAAATATTGAATATTTCTAATAAGACATCTCATGATTTTAATACATGTTTATTTAAATCTGTCACATTAAAAAGTAGAAAAAAAAATTCTTAAGAACTGTGTTTATTGCATTTATTTAGTTTAGTACTTAATAACCTTCCAGATTGAATTTGAGTACCTTAGGCTTTACTGAATGGCAACATGTTGGCACATGGAAAATAAAAGCATTTCATTTCTGGCCAAGACAACATATTGCTTTCATACAGTGAATTTGTTAATTAAAACTGAAAGATAAATATCCTGCATTTTCCAAATGGCAACAGTCTCCCATGCTGGAGATAAAAATGCTTTATTTCAAACAGTGTTGTGCTTCTCTTCAAAGCATTGAGTTGTTAATCAAAAATTCCTTAAAGTTTTAAAACATAAATAATAGAATAAGTTCAAAATTCGTAATTCGGGCTTTCAGGTGCACTCGGTCAGATGACTATATTATTCAAAATTTGATGGCTCTAAGTAGTGTCGTTTTTTTCACAATGTGAGGAACATACACACAATTTTTTCATTATTTAATTTATTTAAAAATAATACAAGGCAATAATCTTTGGTGGCAACAGTTTGAAAAGTGATATGCTGTTTGTAGAGAACCAATACAAAATATCATTTTGAGACTAATAACCAATTTTGAGCTTTGAAAAAAAAAAAAAAAAACACTATCATAAATTTCATTTTCAATTATAAATTTCTTACTTCATCAATCTTTCTAATATATTTTTAGTAGCAGTCAGTAACTATGACACTACAGAATTTCAATAAAACAGGTTTAATATTATACTCTTAAAGAAATCTATAATAAATAATATTAAACAAAAAACATAACACAAAAGTAAATTCTTTAATTTAATATTTCTATAAAATCAAGGTGTTCTTTCTTAGTTAAGCAGCCCATACACTTGTATTCATGTGCCTATAAATACAGAAATAAAATCTGACACTATCCCTATTCATTAAAAGCAATCATACAACAGCAAGAGATGCTGGTTAGTCAACTACAATTCTTTCATATCAAATGCACCATCACTTTCTCATTCACTAAAAGCAATTACACTAAATAAAACAGAAGAAAAGAAATTTTAAATTTAAAAAAATACTGATTCTTAATAATTTGATTTCCTAATACAGTCAAAAGTCGTTAATTCGGACACCCATAATCCGGAATGATCTATAATCCGGACCTCAAAGCTAAAAACTTTCTGCGCATGCGCCGCGTTGGCACATGCGCACAGGCGTTTACGCGTGGCGCGTAAGACCTTGACTACGATATGCGGTGCGCAAGTGCAGAATACGTTTTCGCCTGCGCGTTCAATGTATAACAAACGGTTGTAAGCTAAAATTCCTAATTATTTATTTCAGTTAATGTTAATGATTGCGTTGTTCCTTAATCTTTCGAATGGATCGGCTTATTATTTTTTGCAGACTGTAAGAGCAATTTTATAAAAGTAAACTTGAACTTTCAATTATGTCAAATAGAATTCCGATGCTGGAACTTCCAAGGATCTACAAAACGAAAGTATGTTTCGATGTCTACAAACAAAAGTGGAATGCTGCAAAAATGGATAAAGACATGAAGAATGTAAAAGATGAGGTTAGTGAAAACGAAAAAATTTCGATGACAAGTTAGTCGGTATTTTGGCACCAATTAACGGGACTTGAACAGCGGAACTTTGTAACTGAACAAGAAATAATGTCTGAATTTTTAAAGAGAAAGTATTATCACATAAAATGAAGCAACTTAAACAACTTACATTGAAAGAAATGTTTAATAAAGTAAACAAATAAATATTAAGCTTTTTTTTTTTTGTAAATTTTGATACCCTTTAGATAATAATTGTTCTTTATTTCATAAATTACGGTTTCATATTTTTAATTTTAGAATTTCTGCATGGCATCTTCCGAGATTTAAATTGATGATCTATAATCCGTAAAAATCGATAATCCGGAATCGCCGAAGTTACGACGAGTCCGGATTAACGACTTTTGACTGTATTAATATCTTTAACATTCTTCACGGCAGCGTGTTTCAGATTTCCTTATAAAGTTTTACACTTAAGTAGAATCTAGTACCTCATCTTGTATTTCTTGGTCAATTTGATAGCTTGTAAATCATAGCAATAAATTATAAGCTATGAAATAAAATAAAGCAAAATATTTTGCAGGATGTGATAATATGCATGCAACATAACAGCAAAACTAATAAAAATTCAAAGAAGCCTAGCTAATCTGAGAGTTTATCAAATTCCTAAGTTCCCTGTAATAATACTAAAAAAATAAATAAATAAATAAATAAATAAAAAATAATAAAAAAAAAAAAAGATAACCCAACTGCAGGAAAAAACTTTGCATTTAAATTTTTTCCATGAACAAAGTACACTGTTATTAAATCATTGAGAGTGAAATGAAGTTTAATTTTGATTGCCTGTAAAAAAGAAAAAGAAAAAAGAAAAAGAAAAAAAGTTTACTCTAGATTATGAATCATGCACTCACACAAATAATTATATGAATCAGTCAATCAAAGTACAGTAGAACTGCTTTTTCAGAAAACTTCAATTTATAAATTGCTTATTTTTACAAACTGTTGTGTTAGTCAAAAAAAATATTCTATAGAATTAAAATTGTGCTCTCATTTATGATCTAACTACACTTTCTCTCTCTCTCTTTTCTTTCTTTTAACCCCTAAATGAATTCCAGATCTTCTTTCTTTTCTACTAATTCTTTTTAACAGCAGAAGTTTGAAGGAAGAAAGACAAAATTTTCAAGAACAGGATGAATGATAAAATTTCTCAAATCTCTAAATCTCCCAAGCTGGTAAAGAAAGCGGGTTAAAATTTGTCTCCACAGCCAAAGTTCAAAACATATTTTATAAATATTTAGGGAACTATATAAAATAAAAATAATTGCTTGAAACACACTTATTTTTCCTCTCAATCTGTGCACACACACCTAAGTGGTAAAAATAATCCAGATTTTGACATTTTTAATCTGTGCCAAAGAACTTAATGTTGTTCATTTTTTTTTTCATTTCATAAATTTCAATTTCCTAACTATATTTAGAAAATGGAGAAAATATGCTTGTCTGTAAATAAAAAAAGACTGCCTGACAATGCCCCCAAAAAGTGCTGGTACCTCTAATGGAAGTTGCTAGAGTTTGGCAAGCATAAATCTTCAAATAATGTTCTTGGTATCAGTTTTTAACTGTTCAAACAAAGTTAGTTTAACAAACAAAATTAAAACAAAGTTAGTTTAGCAAACAAAATGAAAACAAAGTTAGTTTAAAAAACAAAATGAAAACATAGTTAGTTTAACAAATACAAAACTTCTTAAACCTTAAAACTCAGTCACAATAGTATAACTTCATTTTAATTTAAAATAAATTTATACCACATAAGTATTTTATTGGTAAATTTCCTGGACATATGTTAAGATTTAATACATGATAATAGTCCTTTAAAGCATAAAACATTTCTTGCATGTAATTTTTTACTTGCATTTGCATCAAATCAAAATAACTAAATAAAATCAAAACAATAACTAACTGCAAATTTTTTGTTTAATGACCTCTTTAATCCAACATGCGTTCGTAATAAGTGCAAATAAACATGAAAATTTATTCCATGCAAAAAAAAAAAAAAGACTACTTACATTATTATCAACATCCACTGCCCATTATTTTCAAAACAAAACAGAAATATCAAGATGAAATGAATATGCAGAAAACTTGAATCAAAGAATATCAACTAAAATGTTTTAAAAAAAAAAGTGAAAACGCTTTAAGAAACATATTTTACAAATAAAAACTTTAAAAATATGCTATACCAAAACAAAAACTTGTAAAACATAAAAACTAAATAAAAAATTACTTGAGTATTTAAATAGCAAACAGTAAACATTATTATTATTATTATTATTATTATTTCTAATTTAGAGGGAAAAAGTAATCTCAGTTTGGTATAGATTTTGAATAAAACTCTATTAATACCTTTTTTTTTTTTTTTTTGGCCTAATTTTACATTTTATATTAGCATGCTTCTTTCCCAGTTTGATTAAACCAATAAAAAGTTTTGGGAATCCAAAGGCCTTTTTAATTGTAGTTAAATATGCTATGTTTCCTAAATAGGTATTGCAGATTATAATCTATAACATAGAACAGTATCATATGCGAGTTCCTCTGTTTGAATAATTTCTTTTCATTTTCATAAAAATTTTTATTAAACATTAAACTTTCTCATGACAATAATAGATAATATAATGGTTGAACTTTTACTGCATTGTTAGTCATTCACATATGTCAAAAAGCATTAAAATACTGTATTATAATTTATTAGATTTGATTTTAATCACTCAGCCATAGCCATAAATATTACAATGATAATGAAAACATTACTTTTTACCACATTTGGTAACTTAAGTAATTTGAAACCATTACCCATAAAATGAGCTAAATGCACTATATAAGAACAGAAAGTCACTATTGGTGCGCTAGAGTCAGTGTTAACTACATGTCATTCTAACAAATATATGTACTACTTGCAAAAGCATTACATTAAATATTAATACTTTTAAGAAAAAAACAAGTCCCCTTCCTAACAAGAAATTGCTTGTTATTCTGTAGAAGACAGGTTCCACATTTTAATATTTTTTTTTAAATGGAAAAAAATACAATAATAGCTAATTTATATCCTTGTTTATAAAAACAAAAGGAGGCTTATCAAGACTCAATCTGTGTTTTATCAAACAAAAGCACAGATGTTATGAGTATGTTGTTACATCCTGCTTACCCATAACTAGCCATGAATTGTGCTGTTTAGCGAGAGTTTCGCTTTTGACAAAATAATACGTTAAGTACTGAAAAATTTATGCAAAAACAAGTCTGATAAAGATATTTATGAAATTATAGAATATACTTTTAATTAGACTCCTAATCACTTTTAGAAAGTGGTGGCATTAATGAAGATTTTTCAACAGCTTTCATTAAAAGTAAGTAAAATGTATGAAGATCTGATATACAACTGGAATAAAAATAAATATCAAATTAAATATACATCACCTACACTACTTTCCAATTCAGATACATTATATCTTATCATTTCAAATAAAGGAAGTTGTAATAATTTATAAAACATATGATTATCCTTACGTACTTGCCAGTTAAAAACAAAAGCTACTCTAAAGAAGGCATAAAATGGATGGATATATACAATACAAAGTCCGAGATCCGGAATGATCTAAAATCCGGACCTCAAAGCCAACACCAACCAATTTGCTTTAGGATTTGTGGGGGGGCAGGGTGCTTTACGCAGGAGAATTTGACTTCCCCCTCTCCATAATAAAAAACATGTGGAGAGCACTGATTTATTATCTCACTTCGCAGTAACTAAAATACGTCATTATTGAAGAAATACCATATACGCTCACGTAATATTCGCACTTTTTTTACTAAAATTACATCACTAAAATGCAAATGCGGTTATTACACAGGTCATTCAAATGTGACACTTTTATTTTTTGTCAAATTTAAAATTGTTTAATAGCGACCTAAAATTTACAAACTCACTTTCTTCCATCCTCATATATAATATAAATTACCCCATTTATATTATACAGTAAACTCTCGCTACAACGATACCCGATACAACAATAACTCCCTCTACTACAATAATGTTTTGTGGTCCCAGTGATTTGCATATAAACTAATGTTAATCTCCCCTCAATATTGATATTCTCTAGAACAATAAAACCTCTGTCAAAACGATTTTTTCAATCTAAATTTCAGTATTTTTTCTCCCTCTATAATAATATTTTGATTTTCAAATGCTTTTTTTTTTTTTTTCGTTTTCTTTTATTTTTTCCGTCTATTAAGACTCATTGTCGATATTCAACTTATCCCTGAATAAATAGCTATTGTTCAGATTTCAAAACAGATGAAGACCACCCTTTTGGGAATTGGAGTGGGTGAGGGGGGGGGTGAAGTGTAAATGTATGCCTAGTCTCATTTCCCAGTAAGCTTTGGACAGGACTTTAGGTTTAAGGACATCTAGACCTGTCTGGTCACCTTGCCACAGAACAAGTGCCCTTTGTTAGAGGAACAGGGGGAGATGGAGGCAGGGTGTTGTTAAGTGACGTACTGAAAAGTGAGTTCAAAGGTTGTTTTATAGTCTTTAACGATTTTGAGTTCTACGCGAAACATTTGGTTTAAACTTTTCTTTCTTTCACGTGATATTGTTCCCTAAGATGGCAGGGCGAAAGCAACTATCTTTTCGAGATAAACTGAACATTATCAATGATAATGATGAGGGAATGAAGCACATTGATGCGGCTAAGAAACATGGATTATCGCAATCTACAGTTGCAACATTCCTAAAGAGAAAGCAAATCAAAGATGCTGTAACTTCAAATGAAATTAACCCAGAGCGAAAACAACTGAAAGTTGCAACAAATGAAAACATTGATGCTGCTGTTTTAAAATGGTTTCAAGAGATAAGAGCAACAAATGTCCCAATAAATGGACCTTTATTTTGTGCAAAAGCACGGAAATTTACAGCAATGCTAGGGAACGAAACTTTCAAAGCTAGCAATGGCTGGTTAATGCGTTTTCGAGATCGTCATGGAATAACTTTCCAAGAAGTTCACGGAGAGAAAAAGTCAGCCCCGATAAACGACGCAAATGAATGGCAGCAAAACAAGATGAAAGAAATCTTAGAAAAGTATGCTCCAGAAGACATTTATAATGCAGATGAAGCTGGGCTGTTTTTCCAACTCCTACCCGATCGAACATTGGCATTCAAGGGTGAAAAGTGTTATGGAGGGAAGAAATCAAAGCAGAGACTGGCTGTTCTTCTGTGTACAAATAGCACAGGAACACATAAAATACAACCTCTCGTCATTGGTAAATCGTTGAAGCCAAGGTGCTTTAAGAACGGGAAAAGTCTTCCCGTGGAGTATAAAGCAAATAAGAAGGCTTGGATGATGTCTAAATTTTTTTCTGAATAGTTACAGAAGTTAGACAATGAAATGAAGAAGAGAAAGAAAAATCGTTTTGTTGATAGATAACTGCGGTGCTCACACGTCATTTCCAAAGCTACAAAATATCGAAATCGCTTTTTTCCCTGCCAATTGCACTTCAATTTTACAGCCTCTTGATATGGGCATAATTAAGCGCTTCAAAGGATATTACAGAAAACGGTTGGTGGACTCCATACTTGTAAACTTTGAAAATAAAGTAGAAGACCCTTTCAAAGCTGTAAATGTCAAGGAAGCATGTGACAATATTGCTGGAAGTTGGTGGGAAGTAACAGAAAAAACCATTCGGAATTGCTGGAAAAAGGCCGGTCTTTGTGTTATGGAAGATAAGAAATCTGATAATGACGAAAATTCCATAGACAATGATCTCTCAGATGATCAAGAATGTGTTTTGCACATAAAAAAATCCGTATCCCAACTTGAGGAAACAAGCGGTAAAAAGTTTGGAATTAGTATAGAAGACTATTTAACAGCAGATGATGATCTTGTGGTTTTCGCAGGAGTTACTGATGAAGATATTCTCTCTGAAATTACTGATGAGATAGGAAACAATGATGAAGATGATGATGATATTGATGATGATGATAATACAGGTCCATCACAGTCCTTATTGTCATCCCAGGAAGCTCTTCAATCTGTGAATTCTCTATGGACATTTTTTTCAAGCCTTCCGTCGACAAATGAAGAACATTTTCGTGCACTAGACTCAATGCATACACTATTGGTGAACTTAACAGTTAAAAAATCATAAACAAACAAAAATATTGGATTATTTCAATAAAAAGTTTTCAGGAGTGAATTTCGTCTTTTTTGATTATTTATTTATTTTTTAGATTAACACTATATTAGTATTTTACAATAATTTTTAATTAACTTAAGTAGTATTTATCAGGTTCAATGTTCCGTCTTACTTTCTTTGGGAACATGCAAGACCTGACTCGGAACAGGGAGCTTACTAAAGCTATGTTCAATAAATGTGGGAAGTAGACAAGATACACAGGAAGGGTATACGAAACCCTTTATTTTTCACTCTTTACAATAATTTCCGTACTTCGGAATACAGAGACCAACCTACTTGTGGTCTGAACGTAAGAATATAAAAATATTAACTAAACTCTAACTTAACTTTGGAATAATAAACAAGTGGAAATTGAAGATTGGCCGTATATTAACAGGAAGCCGTATGTAGTACAGAGAACTGTTAACACTACAATACGTTTAAAATTATCAAGAGGATTAAACCTCTGGCCTGGAAGGCAACCAGCAACCGAGTAAAACTTCTAAGGCAAGCGGCCTGCTTCGACTAACTCCTTCCTCTCTCTCGCTTGGCAAAAAGCCACAACTTAAGTACTTGGCGTTCGCCAGACAATTTTGCATAAATAAGTTAACGCTTATAATTCTGGCCGGCAGTAGAAAATAAGAAGTGAGAGTAAAGATTTAAAATAAAATAAACGTAAGTAAAACTTAAGATCCTTACATACTTCCCGCCAGAGTTAATTAGTTTGAAACTGAGGTCTAAAACGACCTTGTTGAAAACTTTTTAGCTCTAGAATCTAACGCGAGGCCAATCTTTTACAAACATTTCTCACTAGAAACTAGAAATTAAAAAAAAAAAATTTTTTTTTACTCCAACCAATTTTTTCATCTGTACTGCATCTAAACAGGAGCTTTTATTCAAATCTGGTTCCTTCCAGAGATCTGGAAGGAAAACTAGTTT